TTAATTAAAACTTTATTTTAATATATCATTATAATAATTAAAAAAAATTTTATATTTGATTTGATTTGATTTGATTTTGAGAAATCCTACCTGAAGCATTGTTTAATCCAAAAGGTTTGACAAGAAATTTGTATAGTCCATGCGTAGTAATAAATGCAAATTTTTCTATATCTTTAAGATGCATAGCCACTTGCCAATATCCACTAGTTAGATCTAATGTAGTAAACTAATAAGCTTTATCTAAAGAGTCTAATAAGTCATCGATTTTTGGTAAAGCATAAGTGTCGATTTTGTTACTGCATTTAACTTGTGATAGTCTACACAAAGTCTTTTATTGCCTCTTTTCTTTCTAACTATTACAATTGGTGAGACCCATGGGCTGTAGGATAGTTGGATTATCTTATTTGTTTCTATTTATTTTAATTCTTCATTTAAAAATTTGGCATTTTCTGGATTCGTCCTATAAGGTTTTTGACAATTAACATTACATCTCCAGTATAAATGCAATGTTTAATTTTGTGATTCTTCTAATTTCTGTTTGATTTTATATACAGATATCAGTATATTTGACTAAAAGATCTTGAAATAATTGTTATTGATAGTCATTCAATGGTCCTATTTATTCAAATGGAATGATTTCCTGTTCTACAATAAATTCTGCTGCTTTAGCAAGAAAGATTGCTAGGTTAATTTTCTTAGAATTATCTTTTTCTTCATTATTAGTTTCTTTTTCTGAATTTATTGGAGAATAATAATTGTTTTAGGGTTGAATTCCAATTCATCAGCATTGTTAGATTCGTATTCAAAACATTCATCATATACTGTAGGTAGATAGGATACTCTTCTAAGAGTTTATTTTCATAATCATCCTCTTCGTCAGTTTTCTCTTCTTCCTGGATTACTACTTTAGAAGTTTTTGTGAAAGTTATAGGAATTCATATGATATATTTCCCTTGTTAAATGTTTAAAGTAGATTGTTTTCAATTTATATTAGCATTAGTTTCTCTTAATCAATCATTTCCAAGAATAAGGATCTTTTTCTTTGATTCTAAATCTTGAAAGGATGTTAATACTTAGATTTTTCCAATATTAGCAGGTAAATTATCAATAATTCTGAGAGAGCAAGTTCTGATTTCATTTGCAATTACTATGATATTTTTTGAAGAGTGGTTGATTACAAGTCTGAGTTTGTTTAATAATGATTTAATGATAATACTAGTAGCAGCTCTATTATTAGTAATTGCAACTTGTGTTTTTGTCAAATTCGAAGGGTATATTTAACAGCGGTGGTTGGTTCACTATCACTTTCTGTTAAATTTACTTATTTAACATCCTTTTTTCTTGAGCGCCTAACAGCTTGAGTTAATCCCAATCGATATTAGGAATTGCATATGCGGCTTGTCCTATAAAAAGTCTACATGGTAGATTTTGTAGATATTAGAAATGTTAAATTCAGTTAATTATTTGATAGGTACTAATAACAATCTTCATTAAGATGCTTTTACTGTTTTTTTTGTAACTATTAGTTTGGTTGTAATTTGTTCAAATTTTATTTTTTCTTTAAGCATATTAGAACTAAAGTTTTGAGTCATAGTAGGTCTCAAAAGCCCTTCTTTTTGGGATTCTCTTCATCTTTCTCTTTTGTTTTTTGAGATAGGATTTTTAGGATAAGGCCTAGATCTAATTTTTAGGAAGACTTCATATTCTTCTTCTTTTTTTATTTCATAATTATATTCATCTTCATAATATTGATCGACTAGGTGAATAACTCTAGGTTTCTCTAATTATGTGTTTAGTTAAACTTAATTGTCGAGGTTATAGACATTCTCTACTAAATTGTCTAACTTTTTTACAATTAAAACATGATAGATTCATTTTCTATGGTTTTATTTGTGTATTGGAAAATTTTGGATATTATTGAAATTTCTCTCATTAAATTTCGTTCATTAGAAAATTTCTTTCATTGTTAAAGTTTCTTCTTTTTGGGGTACTTGAGGTTGAGCTAACAAAGAGGTATTCAAATTAGCATAATTAAGAGACAACTGCTTCATTCGTTTCGTTAATTCATTAATTTCATTACTAGTAAAAGTATTTTTAAGAGTAATGGGAGTAATACTAGTAGTTGTATTAAGATTTTTAGGCATTCTACCAGTTTTTAAGTTGCAACCAATTTCGATAGTTCATGCTGAATTTACTGTAATATACAGTGAACTCTTGATATAATGAATTCTAGGATCTAGATATCAACTTCGTTATAAGCTTATAATGGATTTTTTAAAGAATTTAATTGGCTAGTTCACTATATTAAGGTAATTTTAATATATTTGATTTAAAAATTCGCTATATCAAGGGTTTGCTATATCAAGGTTTGACTGTATAAATCAGCTGGGTTTTAGAAATGATATATGCAGGATTAAGTCCTATAAGGAATATTTTTTTCTTTTGAACATTATCTGTATACTGATTCTGTTTACTAATTTCTTGAATTTGCTAGCATACAAGTTGACAGATTCATCAGTTTATTGTTAAAACACAGATAATTCTTGATACCCTTGATTTTTCTTGATTTTATTAATAATACGTGTTTCAAAAAGGTCTACAAAGTTATTTCTAGTATTATTCTAATTATCTTCAATAGTTGCAGAAATTCTTTCAAACCAGTTTGCAGCTGCTTCTTTCATATATCCTCCAGCAATAGCCTTTTTCCTGGCTTTTGTAATCCATCAGTTTGTAGTTTATGCTCGTTCAAAAGAAGGTAGCTATTTACTAGGGTCCTTATTCTCTGTTTCATAGAAGTAATCAACTTTGATTTTGTGTTCTTTTGCATATAAATTAGCTTCTGTTATACTAAAAATACCTTTTAGTGTTTGTCTTATTTGATCTCCAGTTGCCATGATTTTTGGTGACTCAGGTAGTAGAGTTTTAGTGGTTGAGTTAGATAAACTATTATCAGAGGAAATTGGTGAAGCAAGTATTTGATGTAATATCTGTCTGTCTCTTTGTATTTGCAGTAAAGTTTAGTCTAATATTTCAGTATAAACATTACTTGAGATAGATATTGTAACTTGTTATTCAAAACAGTTAGTATTAAACGCTACGCCTTGGATGTATAAGTATAAGATGTCAAATAACAATGGTGTAATTTGGTAGCGAATATTAGAAAGTATTGATATTATAACATTTTTTAATTATTCGTTATGATATTCTGATTCAGTTGTATGGTATAGGCTTTTAAATAAATTAAATGAAATAGTAGTTCTTGCAGAGTAAGTGTCAACTTGATGTTCAAAGTTAAACTAAACCCAAAAGTATATAAAACTATCTGTGATGTTGTTATTTGAGGGTGGAGGATAACACCAAAAACAAGTATAATCTATGTGTTAGAGTAGTGCTTAATAATATGCTCAGTTGTATTATGTTTAACTTCTTCAAATTTCATATACCTCACTAGTTCGTCAGCGGTTCATTGTGTATATTATCAACAAAGAATAGCCTGACAGGAATCACCACTTGTTAAACTTAAACTGTTCGTCATTAAGTTAACAAGATTATTTGCTAGCAGGGAGTTTATGTATGTCTAAACTATAGAAGAAATAAACACGAATTAATTAAATTGAAGATCTTTATTAATATAGATTTAAAGAAGAATGAATTGTTTAATGAGCAGGGATAAGTTTTAGAGATAAAGTATTGATTTATTTAGAGAATTGTAGCAGCAGGTCAAAGATATAGAGTATTTATACAAAATAAAATAATAGCAAATAAAATATGATAAATACGATAAATATAACAAATATAATAATATAACGAATGTAATAAATCTGGTAGATCGGTCAAATATCATATTTGTCAATTCGTCATATTAGTCAGATCGGCCAACCAATTCAAATCACATGATTGGCTATATTTGATCGGCGCAGCATGGATCACGCCTTCAACGGAAAGATTGTAGAAAAAAGAAATACTTATTTCAGCATTCCCGCCGGTTTGCTTATGACAGACGGAATGTCTGTATAAAGTTAAATCATTTATTACACGTTTATGCTTTGGAAAACAACAGATACAAATAAGGCTTGTCATTGAAATCAATTTATATTTCTGATCTACACTAGCATAACGTGATTGATTTGTAGCTTTGGTCCGAATTGAATTGGCCTGAATTATCACGAACCATCAAAGTATTTATTGACCAAATCATTTTCTTTTGATTCGATTATATGTTAAAGTACTTCCATCACGAAAGTTCAAAAAATTTATCAAGTATTTATAGAAATATCTTTCTTCACCTCAAAATTCATTAATACTGATGCCTAATTGCATTGCGCAGTTTTATCAATTACTGAAAAATTAAATTCTAATTGATTCTCGGTAATTTTATTATTTATAGACAAATGTTGTGGAACTGGAAAATGTCATTTAATTTTTTTTTGTTTTGCGTAAGAATTTTGAACGCTAAGTTTAACGACGAAATTTTCTTTTAAGCAGATCTCACCTTTCCCGGAACATCATCATCAATAAATAAATAAAAAATTTTTTATTTTTAAAGAATGTCCATTTATCAAATAAATATATTACAAATTACTACAGAACGAGAAAAACTATAATCTCACTTTTGAAACTCTGCATCCTCATCAACATTTAATACACTATCATCACTTTCGTTAAAAGTATCAGCAGCGGTAGATTTTTAACATTGGCACTAAACAATTGCTATTGCTTAATTCTTCTTTAGAATACTTCACTTCAATCAACTAATGCTCTCATTTCCTTAACATAATGCTCTTCTCTGGAATTGATTACCTGGAAAACCTCATAATCATCCATGATAAAGGTACTACCAATATTAGGAGGTAAAATCTTCTTTTCGTGGTATTGTTGAGCTAAATTATGACCAAAATCCAATATTATTCAATCTACTTGACATATCACGAATCGCATATCGAGAATTTTTTACCCTACTAGAACGAATAGTAGAAAAATGACTTGTAAAATTACTAAGGACACTATCACTACAATTCTCACTACAATTCTCATTGACATAATCATTATTAATACTATCATAACTAACATCATCATCAACATTACCGCAAATGTTATTAACTTCGATGAAAAGCACTTTAACTAATACAAAGGTTAGACCTTTGTTGTCGCATAAGTCATGAAATGTTTTAATATCCATCCGTGCAATCTCTACTCCCTCTCAACAACAATTGAAATCAACTTTATCTCAATTCTTTAGACCGTTCTCGCCATTGTTTATCCACGCGTTCAACATACCGGCATGTTTGGACGTTACGTATAAAGAATCAATTTGATGTATGGAACGCAACGATGAATTGTAACTAATACCCAAAGGTGGTAATTCACTATTTGACATCATATGAAATTGAATTTATTGAGCCTTCATTTCTTTGGTAAATTTTCTTTAAAAGACCAAACAAATTCGTATAATTTATCACCTGGTATTGGTATTTGAAACAATCTAACATAAAGAAAAAGACATTTAGTCGATTCTCCAACTCCATAAATCCTTTTTCGTTCATGAATCTGCATCACCGGATGAATTAAGTTAAGGATATTGATTTATTGCCCATAATAACAAATATATCCATATATTAACTTCGCTACATCCAAATCATCACGCTTAATAATCGTTAACAATGAACATTTTCTTAATCGTCGGTCTGTGATGAATTTTCACAATACAGTGGTTGGCTAATGAGAAAGTTGTCGAATTTGTGGTAGTAACGTGAAATATGTGTACGAAATTTTCGTGTAACCGTGATTGATCGTTTTCGATTATGTGAATATTTTTTACCAAATCAGTATAAATGTACCATTTTTTGATACGAACAAAAGGAAAGAAAAAAACATAAACACCATATCATAAAAGAAAAAAGGAAAAAGGAAAAGAAAAAAATCTATTAATTCACATTACACGACTACAACTTAATTTAGTAGTAATCGTAATACATCTGGATGTATACTTTGTTTTTAAAATGAAATATTCAGCATCTTTTTTTTGATCGTTAGAAAATTGATTTTGAAAATATGAAGATATGATAGATTCGTCTTCTTCTCCGACCATAAGTTGTACTTCATTCGCTTCATAATACAATTTACCGATATCTCTTAATAAACCCTACCGATAATTCCATTGTAAATTTGTGGATGAAGGAGATTTTAAATTTTATGATTTGAGGAGAAACTTGTTTTTGAGAAGGGAACGGAGCTTCGATATTTCTTTTTTTATGTGAGGTGTCCATGTTTGATTGGCTGGTTTACTTTTTAGTCGTTGGGGAGTTAATCGATTATTTATGCATAATTTTCAGCAGAAAATCATTAAACATGAATGCGTCATATATATGTTATGACATTTAACAAAAAATAGGTCTTAAATTACATAAAATATCTTAAAATCCGTTCAAAGAGATAATTACTTGAAAACAACGTGAATGAATGATTTAAATCATGGAGAATAAAGATTATTTTCCGATCAAACTTAAAATTTAAAAAAAGTTTGGCCTTTTAGAAATTAATTCATGTACTGCGTCTTTGGATCATACATGATTTTTACTTTATTAAATTTTTGTTAATTGTCACGTGAAGATTCAACTGTAAAGTGATTAAGCTCTTACTTAGTTTATAAATTATCTTTTAATATAACTTAATTGGTCCTTCACTTCTCTAGATTTCAGCATCTTTAACCAATTTCCATTATAGACCTTCCATCCATATTGTAGAATAAATTGAACTAAAAGCGTCTCGAACGAACTAAAGTTGGTCGAAATCAGTCCATTCGAGATAGTCCAAATTCTCTTTGGGATTCATTTGAGTATTCTAATAATATCATCTACTGTTGAATCACCGCTAAGCTAATTGCTGAAATCCTTGCAGGATCGCAAAGATTACTGATAACGTTTGTAATCCGCATTCCAAGCATTTGGTGCCGTATGATATTTTTTATTAGTTGAAGAAAACCCGAAGGGCGAGCCTAGGGAATATTTCGAAGCCAGTGTAAATTTCATCAGGAAGTTTAATATACGTAATATTAATAAAAATTATTTTATATTATTTATATAAATATAATACGTAAAAAT